GTGTTAGAAATTCCAGGAATTGGTCAAAAGGTGCCAGCGAAATGGATGTAAAACTTACTTCAATCCGATAGCAATGTGGTGCAGAAGTTTTGTAGGAGTAAAGCATTAGCGAATATTGGAATCGTGGGAGCTGCAAAAAAGAAAGTACTAAAAGAAATCTCAGATGCAGCTGAAGAAGGATCTTAATGTATTTGGCTGAAAAGGAATAATCCGTGGATTAAAGAATGACTAAATCCGTTCGTTGAATGAAACCGTTTCTTTTTTTGTCTTTTTGTTTTTTTCCTCAAGTAAATGTAAAAGAAAAAGACATACCATAACGTTGGCGCATGTGCAGGAGACGTAAAACTAGAAAGCGCGCGCATGTCACACCTTTGATCTGATACGTCTAGACAGCAGACAAGCAAATTCTGATTGGCTAATGCAAGTCTCGTTGCCATTATAAAAGAAAGATCTACCTCGTGATTGTTAATATATTTTCTGTTATTAGAATCTCATTGTGGAGAGAATTATGCCGTGAGCCGGCCTGTTAACAGGTCGGGGTTCCTGGCAGAATGGATCTGATGTTGCAATACCCGAAATCCGTAATGATACCAGGGTAACATCACTGATGACCTCATACTGTTGCATTTTATAAATATATTTTAAGATTATATATAATCGTATATTTTTTTACAATGATATTCACTTCGTAAAAAGCCTAAGACCCACTTAATTTAGAGAGTACAAGTTGTAAGAGCGACAGTTTATGGAGATGTGAGAGGAAGATAACGGTTAACCCAAGACTTGGAGCGATCGGGGAAGCATTGTCTTGGTAGTCGGTTCCAAAAAGCAAGGGTTCGTGAGAAGAAACTGCTCGAGAGAATCTTAAATCTCACCAATTGTATACAGAGGGAATGCGGGTTTTTCGTTACATGGGGGCTATTGACCCTGAAAGGTAGATCTGGTGGAAGTAAAGATTGTAGTTAAGTTGAACACTTTCCATGCGAGAGGCTTGCGACCTTTTCGTCTATGGGAAAAGGGGTTGTATAGTGGGAAATGATTGAGCACCCACAATAGGTGTTTTGGACTCTATCGAAACTGAAATGTGAAGACTGGGCAGCTTCTGTTAATATATGGCAGCAGTACTCAATTTTCAGCCTCATCTGGCTCCTGTGGAGATCAAAGCTAGGTACGTAATGGAATGGTACAGGGAACTGATTATCTTTTGAGTATCTTTAGCGATACATCGTAGATACGCATTCTACTTGAGGTCTGGATTGAGATTAAGTCCCTGCGTTTGTGTGTAAAAATTCAAATATAAGTAAATCTATCTTCAAGTATAATATAAAAAAAAAACAACAACAAAAGGAATGACATTTAGGGCAAATGGTATCTATTTTAGTTGTTGCTACTGGTGAAAATCCTCAAACGATGTGGTTTCGTTTATTTTGCGCAGCTTTTGTTAGTGATTATGTAGCGCCAGCCCACAAGATCTGATTAAGAATTAAGTCCTTTTACAACTTCACATCGGGTTAACTTTTTTCTGCGTGTTACATCAATAGAACAAATAGTCCGTATCTTGAACACGCAATGATTTTTTTTTAATCAATAGGCATTTACTAAAGTTCCCACAACGATGTGACACAAATCAAATTTAATATGGGTGCCCATAAGCATACGAATAGGTCAAGGACAAATGTGCAATGGGGGAGATGCAGCAAAAAAATTAAAATCTTCGGGACTATTCATCCCTCAAAATTAGAAGTCAAAGAGTGCGTTGGCATTTACTAGCGCGCCAACGTCACAAATGAATGTGACACAAGGCCGCCGTTTTAATGTCGGTCATCGGCAAAACCGTAAAAAACTTGCTCGCCCTAATGCACTTTCCATTTTTGGTGACGCCTAAGGCGAGGGTAATTATCCCAACCCCATCCCAAAGGAGAGTGATATATTTATTGCCTGGTGGTAAGGGGATTTTTCAGTGCCAACGTCACTACCGAATGTGACAAAAGGTCAGTTTGAAGTGGGTTTAACTACAATACCGTGAAAAGAACATTGCTTAAACTCTCATTATTTCCCTCCGTTGAGCTAACCTCAGGGGCCGGTAATGATTCGAGACCCCTCCCAGATGAAATGAGCATTTCCTGCAGGGAGGTGGATTTTTCAGTACCAACGTCCCTACCGTATGTAACTAAATGTCAGTTCAAAATTGGTTTAACTACAAAAAAAAAAAAAAATTGCTTACATCTCCGCCACTTTCCCAGTTGGAGTAGGCTGTAGCGCCGGTAATGATCCCAGCACCCTCCTGAATGAGAGGAATATTACCTAGAGGGAAAGTCTTCTGATGTTTCAGCTGGTTTTGATTGAAATCAACCCCCTATCCTGACACCAGAATTAGACAAGTGAAAGCGTGTATCTTTATTCTTTTTAATAATACAATAAATCATGGCCGAAAGGGGAAAGGTTCGTTCTCAATAACTCTCCTAGTCCTAGTCCTCGACCCATTCAATCAATTCAATATAATATGCTCATTCACCACAAGAACTTGTCCATGACGTCTCAATCCTTTGTGTACCACAATACCACATATTCTCAAGGAGCTTACAAAACACACCATGATGTAAAATATTGTGCAGTTCAACATAAAATATGTAAAAAATTTCTGGGTGCTTTAAATGATGGCTGGGGGAATGAAAGCAAAAAACAAAACTAAAGATACAACAAAATATTAAAACTAAAAATAATATACATTAATAGGACCCGTATACCCCTCAAAATAATGAGGGTGGCCACTGTAGTCTGCCGTTCGACAGATTCAAGCAGTACACTTACTAATGGCGTTTAATGAGAAAAAACAAGGCGTGACTCAGCCGCGATGAAAAAGGGGACAAAAACAAACTGAAGTTTAAGAAACTCGGCATGGCTCATAACAAAATGAGAATGACGGAAACAGTCTAACTTAACCAGGGCATGGTCCACGGGAAACTGCCCCGCTGTGCTCAAGGGGACTTAAAAGAGAAAACCAAGGCTACTTTCACGCGAACCAGGCTCGCTCCAAATACCCATCTTTCGCTGAAATCTGTCGATATCACACGCTTTCTAACAGATCTGATCTTCATCCTGAGCTGATGTTCAAAGAATCCAACCAGAATAGGATGAGAATAAAGTTCCTATCGTAAAATCCCCTCATCCACGTCGACCAAACCACCATTCTTGCCACAACTACCAGCGTTAGAAACACTGTCTGTTTCACCCCGGAACATGAAGGCGACAAATTATAGCATGTGTATTGTAGATCGGCGGACACGAGATGTTCGGAATCGATAAGAGCCGTCAGCTCGCCGAAATGGTCCCAGAACGGGCGCACCTAACGACACTGGTAGAAGGCGTGCGCCGTCGTTTCTTTTTCGGCACGTTTGTGACTGATTGAAGAACTTTTACAGAATAGAAAGATCTGCTTGGCTAGCCAACTTAAAGTAAAATAGTATATTTATTCTTTGTAAATAATACAACAAAATTGTGTCACAAGGCCGAAGGAGAAGTGAGAAAAGGCTCGTTCTCAATAACTAACCTACTCCTAGTTAATCACAATCACGACCCATTCATTCAATATAATATACACAATCACCACAAGAACGTATCCATCACTTATCAATCCTACATGTACCACAATACCACATATTCTCAAGGGGATTACAAAGCACCCAATGATGCAAAAATTTGTGCAGTTCATAATAAAATATATAAAAAAAATTCTGAATGCTTTAAATGTTGGGTGAAGGAACCCAGAAACCGAAACTAAAAATACAAAATATTAAAACAAAAAACAAAACAGACGTTAGTAGGACCCGTCCACACCTCTTCGAAACAAACATCTCCCTGTCAGATTTTATATACAGTGTAACCCGGATATAAGAGACCCGGATATAAGAGAAACCCGGATATAAGAGAGATTTTCTATGGTCCCAAATTAGAGCCTGTGTTAATGTATATAAAATAGACCAAACCCGGATATAAGAGACTTCTTCTCCGGTCCCAACAACTCTCTTATATCCGGGTTACACTGTATTAATAATGAATGTTTTTTACAACGTAAGCAGTATTTTCTATTTGCATAAGAATTTATTTAAAAACATATTTTAATAAATATTTAATCTGTGTTTTGTTTTTCTTTTTTTTTTTTTCAGATTTTAAAAATAATCAGTATTGCTTTCTAAGATGGATTTTTTTAAAAAATTCATTTCGTTTGTCTAGAAAAGAATTACATCTGCCCTGTCAAAAGTTAGTCGTAAGTTAGCAAAAAAACACATAAAATAAATATAATCTTGGTTTAAAAAAGAAATAACATTTTTGAATATGCTCATAGTAAGCAATTCAGGCTGGCGTAGCAGGAGAAAAAAAAAACTTTAGAAAATAGATGTCTTGCTTAAAAAATAATTTA